TATTTGCACTAGTTATCCAAAAACATGTTGAAGTAGATCTCTTCATGTATATGCAAGATAGTGACATCACTATAAGAAATGTTACATATAATAACATATAAAAAGTGTTATTATTATAAATATAATATATGTAGGTATATATCTATTTGACATATAATTATATATAATTTTAGTATTGATTTTAAATGAAATTTAAAAGCATATTTTGTGTGTCATTATAGTCTATATTTATATTTTTTTAACAATTTATTAATATATATTATATTTATTGTGTAGATAAAAGTAGTTTTAATGACATATATATTATGTCACTATAGAATATGTCACTATATGATAATTTTTTTATAATGCATATCTTATGTTGTACTTTGGTTACACCTTTTCTTATTTATGAAATTATCTTTGTTATATATATAAAAAATATATATGTTAAGCTTTTGTTCTACATAGCAAACTTAGAGTTAATCACCTATACACTATTAGTGTAAAAAAAAAATTTACACTGAAAACCAATTAGATCTTTTAATTGTGTCATGTCACTGTTAAAAATAAATATTTATAATGACATGACACAATTAAAAAATCTAACTAGTTACTAGTATTAAAAACTTTACACTAACAATGTATAGGTAATTAATTCGCAAACTTATAGCATGGCATTGGCTTTGAACATTTTGTATAAATAAATTTCAAGACTGCGTTTAGCATTCTATATATCTTCATAATATGCTCAACTAACAAGGACATTTTTATTCGGGTGCTATTTCAATTTATTGACAATTCAAATAAAAAAGATACTAATAATTAAAGAACAAATTATGTATGCTAACATTCACTAACGTATTGTTAAATTTAAATATTAAGTATAAGTTGGTAAAAACGAAGGCTTATTATTGACAAGGATATTAATAGGGATAATAAAACTAAATATTTTTACTATTTTGTCTACTTTTGCTACGAAAAAGAAAAACTCCGTCTTGTATTCAAACAACAGAATATAATTTTTTTTTCCACCTAGATAAGTACATTCTATTTCATTATATTTTGCTTTCCATTAATTAAATATTAAAATATAACCTTGGATATTTGAAAGAAAAGTTGACATACCTTATGAGATATGAGATGGACCATTTTCATTGGTCAAAAAAGGTATCGCTGATAACTTATTCAACTATATGGTATTGAGGATTAGAAATTTTTAAAAATGTGTTAAATAAATAATTGCAAATAAAAGAATTAATAATGATAAAAAAAAAGTGTTTATATGACTTAAAAATGAGAATATGTTAGATATTAAATAGAAATTTATAACTTAACCTCTTTAAATTATGATAATTGTGTATCTTCAAAATGTAACAAAACTTATTATTACTTACTACTAATTTTGTCCAAGTATTTTTTTTAACACAAACCAATTGAATCTAATAAATTGATAAAATAGTATAGACATTTTATGAAATTAAACTTACAACTAGTTTTATTTGCTAAAAATGATGCAACGCAATAATATTATTCTAAAAATTATTATTAGAAGGATAAATAACAAATAATAATTAATAGTTTATTAAAAAGTTCATATAATATTTATTTTAAGTTATTTTTTTCTTACACAACAAGAAATATTTTTTTAATGTTATTTATGCATAGGATACTTACATATGTCAAGTACCATTTAATATTTTTTTTAACGTTATTTATGCATAGGATACTTAAATATGTCAAGTACCATTTAATATTTTTTTCAAAACCAAGTAGTGCTAAAGCTTTTTTGGTATAAAATGACTATAGTAGTTATATTTTTGTCGAGTTTGGTCCTTAAGTATATTACTAAGATTAATTCTAATGTGTTTTTTTTTTTCTAATGTGTCACTTTTTTATAAAATCACTTGAGTTATGTTCTTTAAGTAATTACTATAAAGATACATAATTTTATGAAGTTTATTGAAATATATTCAATTTTTACTATCATCTAATTATAAATTATCATATAATTCAAATTTGTTAATTGTTGTAATAATTAGTTTTAAAGTCTATTAATAATTATTTATCATATTTTACAGTATAAAATTTTACATCAACAATATATCAAAATTAAACTTAAATTTCAATTATATAATTATGCATGATTGATAGTAATTTTAATTATATAATTGTTAAAAAAATTATAATAGCGAACTTTTTTTCTTCCTCTTATTATATATACGTAGCATAACATTCACTATAACTATTGTGAAGTTAATTTCTTTATTTTTTGAGACTTTATTTTATTATGAAATATATACTAATATTATAAAAATAAATATTAGTATTTAATAAGAGAAAAAACATTTTTATAACCCTTTTGTGTATTATTTTAGGATTGAAAAAACTGATAAAAGGAAGAAAGAGAAAAATATATATAAAATAAAATTATGTTGTAGAAAGTAATCATTTGAAATAATGTTATTCATCCGATGAATGTGAACCTCGTAGTTATATTTATGTCGATTCTTACTTTCCTTTCTTTTTATAACGAACAAACTATTCAGTCATAAATAACTGCATCTTTACGCGGAGAATATTTGACAAATTATTTAAAGGACAACAACAAAATTAAATTGATTTTAGAAGATTTCTTATATTGATCATAAGCTGACATTCAACCTTATGAGTTATATTAAATTACGGCATTGTTGAAAGATATATAAGTGTAAACAAATACATTTTACAATATTAATTAAATTTAATTAATTAGTAGTTACAATTTTCAATATAAACAATTAGAGTGTTCAGTATGTAACATTAGAGCCAAGTACGTTTCCTATAATATTTTAACATATATTTTTTAATAAATATGGTAATTCTATTTCATATTAATTAAAGATAAGGTGTGTAAGTGAGATGTAATACTTATTTTACAAATAAATTTTATAAAGTTTAGTTAGATTTTTAATTTTTTTTCTTAAAATGGTATCAAAGTATATTAGAACCTATTCTAATGAATAACGATTGTTAGTGATTTATTAAGTCACTCACTATCAAACTACTTACAATATACAATTTTACAAGCTTCATGTTTGAGATGTTCAATTCTCGGCATAAGAGTGTATGTCAGAGATCTTACACATTAAAAATAAAGTTATAATAGTATATAAGCGAGAAACAATCTTTATCTTACAAATCGATTTTATAAGATTGAGTTAGACTTTAATCCATTTTCTAAGACTCTTAATAATTGGAATTTGACTCATTTAGAATAGGAAGATAATATACATATATATATATAAGAGGAATCTATTTACTTTAAGAGTATGTTTATCCAGATTTACTTCATTTAATAACTCATGTTTTACATCAAATTTTAACGATCCAACCATTGAAATTAAAATTCTTAATGCATAGATTAAGTTTTCAAATTTTAAAAAAATTTGAAAACCATTAGATACTTCGTTTTATTAATTCAAATTGACGGATAATTATAAAAATATTTTATATGTTGATATGCTGTCTGTGGGAATTAAACTCATGACCACATGGTTAAAAGTCAATGAATTCTACATGCACTCATATATATATATATATATATATATATATGTATGAGGATGAATCTGTTTGTTCCACGAATAAGTTTAGGTAGACTTATTCTATTCAATAATTTATATTTTACGTCAAATTTTAATGATTCAATCTTTGAAATTGAAGTTTTTTTTTATATATAAATCAAGTATACAAATTTTTAAAAAAATTTGAAAATTATTTGATATTTCATTTTATTAATTCAAATTAACGGATAATTATAAAAGTATTTTATACGTTAATAAAAATAATTTACTTTATTATTATTAAAATTTATATTTTAAAAGAAAAATTAAAAACTAATGTAAAAGGGGCACTTTAGGCATACTCATGTACAATTTTTTTATCGACAAATGTTAGTAATTAATTATCCACTCATGCACTTACGTGTACTCACGCACAAATTATGACGAAAAAGAGTTTTTAATATTGATTTTTTTGAAATTTTAAGAATAATGAATGTGAAATAATATTGATAATTTGATTGTGTATTATAAATTTATTTAAAGTATATTGTTAATAATGTAATATTTATATTAATTTTTATTATATAGATAAATAGACTGACCTATCAAATTTAACAATTTTTTTTTATATATAAGTTCATCTTTCTTTAAATTAGATTTTTTAAAATTTTAAATTTATTTTTTTAATTAAATAGATTAAATTAAATGACACTTTAAACAAGTCATATCATATATCTCTATTTAAATTCTTAATTATTCTCATCCATATTCATATTCTAAAGAAAATTAAAATCCTAGCTACTAATATTTGGTTTATGAAGTTGTGGATATTATTATATATTCATATTTATCCAAAATAACTTTATTACACTCCATAAATTCATGAAATAGTAATTTTTGCACTTAAGAAGTAGAGAAATTGTTGAAGCATACAAGAGTTAAATGAATCTGAATTTGTGTGGTGATTTGATGAGTGTGATGTGCTGTAAAGCATTGAATTTGGTAGAAAATGCAGCAAAAGCATATTAATAATAAGACAATTAATCAGAGTTAATATTGGCACAGCATTAATTGGTTTCTCAAAGCACCTGTGCATGGAGTCCAGGTGGAGTCGTGAGCGAGTTTTGGAATCCACATATGACCTCAGAAGTGAAGCAACTGTACAAGTAAAGGAACAGCAAAATCCGCAATTATACTCTGCAGCGCGCCCCACAGGCGCAAAAAATAAAAAAACAATCACGTGGCCCATATCCTCCCATCAGACGCAAATCAAACCACCACGCGACAGTGCCCTCCACGTGGCGCTGTCCCAGTGCACGAGACACGAGCGCAGCATGCAATTACCACACAACGCACAACAGTTGAAAACAATAACCAGGTGGGGAAGAATACATGATAGTAATACCAGTAGCATGCAATGCACCCCAGTTTTGAAGGGTTGCAAATGCAAATGCAAATACAAATACAAATACAAAGCACTTTGACACCCCCTATTCCTGAAGTTAAGCAAAGATAGAGAGAGAGTGTGTTTTTTAAGATGAAAGAAAGAGTGAGAGTCCAATACAAAGCCAAAAACGCCATTGATTTCTGTTGTGAGTTACAGAACTTTTGCAACAGGTGGAGGGCGTTTTGGACCCCCATGTTTCCTCTGTCTTCACCATCCATCCGTCACTCTTTGCTTGGCCACTCGCTAACCACCACCACCACCAGCACCAACCCCTATGCACAAACCAAACCATTTCCCTTAACCCTGGTTTGCACTCACCCCCTATTCACACGCAGCCACATTCTCCTCATTATTATTACCATCCATGAATCCGCTCCTCACATTTGGTCACCACACTCATTAACCCTATCTACACACAGAGAGAGAGAGTGTGTGTGTGTTGTAGTAAAAGTAAAAGGAAGCAAAGGGAGAGAATGGGGAGAGGCGTGAATGCAGGATGCACAAATGTCATAAAAACCAGACCCAATCCTTGCTAAAAATAGAAAAAATCCAAATAAAGAAAAGAGAAGAAAAAAAAAAAAAGAAAAGAAGAAAAGGGTAGACTCCACTACTCCTACTTGTGTTGGGTTGGGGAAAGAGAGTCCACCATTGATCTGTTTAACACCAAACCCCACACCCATTTCGTGATTGCCGAGCGTCGTTCATATCTGCACACACACTGAGACTGAGAAGGAAGTAGTACAGTCACAGAAAACCAAAAGCACTGTGTGTGAGTGTAAAGAAAAATAAAAACCCTAAGCTAATGATGATGGATGAGCGACAGCGAGAGAAGGTGCTTCACAAAACCGAGGCCTGTGGTTTCGTGGCAGGTGTTGGCTCCGACCTTGGACATGTCACCGTGCCAGGGGACAACACCAACAACGTTTCTCATTCTCATGGGTCGGGTCGGATCCACCACTTTGGTCTAGTTCCTGCTTTCGGAACTGTTCACAGGAAGAAGAGGATGCCGAGGCAACGAAGATCCTCTAACCCCTCTTTGCTCATGCACCAACCCAACCACCCTCGCTTTCTTCCTCCTCCTCCTCCCTCTTCCTCCGCCTCCGCCTCCGCCTCCTCGCACGTGCCTCTCTCCGCCACTCTCCTGCCCGCACGTGTGAGTCACCCCCCACTTTTATTTCTCTCTTGCTATATCTTTGCCTCCTGTCTTTAACTCTAATTTTTCGGATCTCTTCGTTTTATCCCTTTTCTTTTCCTATATCTGTCTCAATTCCATTTGTTAACGCCATTTTTCCATAAATACCGTGTTTCCTTCCACGTTTCGGATGTGATTTTTTATACCTTGGATCTGAGTTTTAGAACTTAAGACTAATAACTTTCACATCTCAAATGTCTTCTAATAATTTTTTTTGCTAGATTTTAGCTCTATCCAAACTGAATCGGATTAGTCTAAGAATGTGAAGGCAGGTGTGAAAGAAAAAAAAAATGTGTTGTATCTTCCTAAGTTTCAGATGTGAACTTTTTTTTTGTATTTGGATGTAATTTTTGGACGGGAATTTTAGAAGCTAATAGTTATAGCGTTATGATAAGCAGTGTTTGGTTTCAAGTTTCAGATGTGATGCTTTTTTTGGTATTCGGACGTGATTTTTAGAAACTAATTAATAGTTATATCTTTCAAAACGTTCAATGAGTTTCCAAACACGCCGGGAGTTGGAAATGATTTTTGATAGTTTTTTTTAATCAGAATTCTAGTTATAAACTTTTATATATTACTCGGATTATCGAGATTAAATTCCTATTCTATTCTAATTGAATATCAACATTATAAATATAATATACTTAAAAAAAACTGCATCTAAGTTTTATATTTCCGAGTTTTCTCTATGTGCTTGGTTTTATTTGTCTCGTGATTCTCGTACTTATTTAAATATGATTTGATGATAATCTTTTCCGATGCTAAATGCAAAGTTCTTTAATCTTTTTGAGATACTGTGTAGCTAGTACTATACTTGTTTGAACAGGGCATAATTTAATTGTTTGATCTCCAATTTTGGAACTGGAGATGTTAAAAGTACACCTGATTTTTTGGTTGTATGGGTGAATGAAGAGAGAGATATAGAGAAAAGTAAAAGAAGATAGAGAAATTGATAGATACTATGTACATTTTAAATATAAAAAAATAGGATGAAAGTAAGTTATAAAAGACGTTACATATATGGATATAATAACTCTTTTAGCGGTGCAGCATGGGGAAGGTTGAGTGAGAATGGAGGGTAAAAGTGGCACTCTGGTCAAGAAATGAACAATAATTTTTTTTATATTAAATTCCCTACCCAAAAAGATAGTAATATGTGAAGAACAACATTTAGAAGAGAATCACTGTCGAAAACAATTTTAAAAATGAAAGTGAAGGCATGGAGTATTATATTCTTTTTTGTAACTCAATTGCGTACTAAATGAAGTCGTTAAACACAAGTCCGACATACTTTGATTTCCTAGCTAGCTTGCGAATCTTGTTACCTTGTGTCAGATTGTGCAACCAAAACATATACACAAAAACACGTCAAAAAGGAAAAGACTTTTATCCGCTGCTAAAAGGAGCATGATCAATATAAGTACGGAATTAGCCTCATGGATATATATAGTAAAAGAAATTTCTTCCATGTGAAGTGTATTTGGTTAATACTTCTCATATACTACCATAATTATATATCTAAAAGAAATTATGTGGACTAGCTTACCTAAGTTTCTGTTTTTCAAAACTTTGGCATAGGCGTAAACCTTTGGGAAGGAGTTACATGAGAAGCGTGAAATTTTGGTTGTTAATTGCTAAATATAGTAGTAGTACTACATATAGTACTGTACATGTTTTCTCTTATTGTATTACCTCAGGCTCAGATGTTAATTAATGTCCATCCTTGGAAGCCGAAAATTCCCACTTTTTGTTCTGGAAATCTTTAGTGGTGTGTAGAGAAATTTAGTAATTAAAAAAAGAGGAAAAAAAAAACGATGATTAGTGGTTATTGACGGCTTCAGATTTGGGAATTTGTGTATTTCAAGATAGTCATAAGGCATGCTAGACAATGCCTTGGGTATCTACCTCTTTACTACTAATATATAGTATATTGACTTTAATTATGTTCTTATGCTAGACATGGTGGCGTTGATGCCTTATAAGTTACACAAAATTTACATGTTTTGTCATAATTTATTATAATTTGCTCCACCTTTTAGGTGAATGTCTTAGTTCCATGTTATTTTTATATGAAATTGATAGAAATTGCCTAATTTCTTTTGTTTTGCTTTTAGGAAATCGATCATAGAAGGTTGAGATTCCTTTTCCAAAAGGAGTTAAAGAACAGTGATGTTAGCTCCCTTAGGAGGATGATATTACCAAAGGTTTAGTCTATGTCAATAATTCTTTACAGTATTGTTGTCTCAAGTAATTAAATTTCTATTCCGTTATGAGCCTATAATAATGAATTAAATAATTGGGAAACAAATTGTAACTTGCAGAAAGCAGCAGAGGCTTTCCTTCCTGCCCTTGATTCAAAAGAAGGAATTGTAATCAGCATGAATGATATAGATGGTCTTCATGTATGGAGTTTCAAATACAGGTCTGCTATGTATATGGTTTGGTTTATCTGGATGCTCACAAAATATACTAAAATTTAAAAATTAATAAATAAAGCATGTTTGGATACAAGTGTAGAAATTTTTTAAGAACTTTCCTGCTAAAAAATATTTCCTATTTTCAATAGAAAAATTTTCAAAAAATTCTTATAAACTATATCTAGAAAGGCTCATAGTCACATTATTTTACCATGAGGGAAATTGATATTATTTGAAATATACAATTTAAGGTTGTTTTTAGTTAATTGTTACTAACAATTCAAATTTAAAGGTTATTTGGTATTTGTATTTGAATAATGCAGGTTTTGGCCTAACAACAATAGCCGGATGTATGTACTTGAAAATACTGGTATCTCCTTAATTTTACTAAAACTACTGTTCTAAATATTTGGAAGCGTTAATTAAAGTTTTGGTTATGAAGTATTATGGTGCTGAATATTTTCAGGAGACTTTGTCAACACTCATGGCCTACGCTTTGGAGATTCCATTATGGTTTACCAAGATAGTCAAAACAATAATTATGTATGTGATGCCAGAATTAATGCTCATTTTGCTGAACTGTTTCTCTTTCAATTCTAAAATTTCGTTATGCTCATTCTTTACCTTAAATTCTGTTAAGCATTTTGAAATTGCACATTTTTCGATGTATTCAGGTTATTCAGGCGAAAAAGGCTTCTGATCAGGATGAATTTATTGAAGAAACTAGTGACACCATCAATGATATCTTCCTTAATGATTATGAGGTGAACAAACCTGGTTGCTTCGATGTAACCTATCCTGCAGTGAACGATACAGGGATGTCATTCATATATGAAACTACCTTCTCAAATGACTCCCCACTTGATTTTTTGGGTGGATCAATGACAAATTTTTCAAGGATTGGACCAGTTGAAACCTTTGGCTCTGTGGAGAATTTGTCACTTGATGACTTCTATTAAGGGCACTACAAGGAGGCACCGATTAACATGCATGGTACCAAGACTAGCACTGTTAAGTGTGTGCTTCTTTATTTGGTACTAAAGAAACATAAAAAAAAAGTGTGCTTTTTTTGTTGTTGTCATGACCATGAGAGGATTTGTGTAGAAGAATAAAAAGAGTAGCCAGTGGGCATGTTTTGTGTTCCTCTCTCTTGAACAAGTGGGACTGCTCTATATCATGTATTCCTTGTATTTTTTGTTGAACAGCATGATAAATGATTTGAAAGTTCATTATAAATCATATAGTATTATATGCAAGTAAATCATGTAGGAGGCAATTGTTTTGTATGTGTAGAATAACTTTGTCACCAATAGATTGTTTTGTGTGTTCCTTTTGCCTTGAACAGCACTATGGGTTATTTTGTGTTTTGGTACAAGAACTGTTCTATAATTTTAGCTGGATGGAATCTATATAAATAAATTCCGCTTATGTTCGTTATAATTGACATATAATGTGTAAGCAAATTGTTTTGTAAGTAATTGTTACGGGAGTCTCGTTTTGTTTTTTCTTATCAATAAGAGATGAATTCAGTATCAAAGGTTTTAACAAGTCAAACATTCTGTCCAACTAACTGAGTTATACCCTTAAGGATTATAAGAGTCTCCTAATTGCATTAACATTACGTTAATGTAATAGAATAGGTATAGTATTGAGAAAAGGAGGGAGGGAGAATTGAATAAAATATATATTTTTTTAAATGCTTGTTGTTATTTTTTAAATCAAAATTGGTGTTTATTTTGATAATTTATGTAACAAATGTTTACCTTAATAAGATTAAAATAGATTATCGAGGGATGATTGTAAGATAATTTCAAAAGTAATTATGTATAATTATATTTAAGTTGTATCTTATGTGAAATGGAATTTGAGAATAATTTCACTTAAATGTAATAAGTAAGAGAATTGTTTGACACTCCTTTTCTTTTATGATTGGTTGAAATTTATTAAAAATCCTAAATTTTGTAGGTTTTGTATCTTATTTAATGAATTTCTATTGTTATTTTTATAAGACCTACTAAAATTTGTGATTTTTAACTAATAGTGAGAAAGTATCAGTAAGAGAATATTAAGAAGAATGTCATTAGAATTTCTCAATTAATTATCCATCCTTATTTATTTAATAATAAAAATATGATAAATTTATTTAATACTACTTTTAACACACTTTTACAATAAGAAAATTATATATTTGTGACAGATTCATGTTTGACGAAATTGAAGCTATCCAAAATATGATTGTTTACGAATGGTTCATGCATTACAACTTTGGACTTTAGATATTCAAACAAGTAGGTGTTTGCTCAATGATATAGCTATTTGTAAAGTTTGTATGTTTTTGTGTGAAAATTAAGTACAAAATTGCTAATGGGTTAGTTATTGGTAAGTTAGTGTCTTTTCAAACAATTTTAATTGTAGATTTATCAATGACTTTTTCTAGTGACATGTTTATTGGTAAGGGTATCTTTCTTTAGGGATAGTAAAGTAGTCAATGAGTGATTTTTTTATTTTTTTAATTTTATTTTACCTTATCAACAAATTTGTCATCAATAAAGGTATTTTCTCTTAACAATAATTATTTGTCGATTAGTGATTGTTGAATTATCATTGTTTTAAATTAGTTTTAATAAGGGTATTTTTTTTCTTTATCAACATGTTAGCAATCAATAAATCATTAGTAAATTTTGTCTAAATGAGTTGGGGAAACTCTTCTCCATTCTCTTATCTCGCATTTTCTTTTTTACCTAACAATAACAGTCACCTCCAACAATAACGACTACAATAATCCCATTAACGAAAACCACCATTATCACTATTATCACCATTGATGAGAATCATTATCGTCATCTATAAAGCATCGCCATAGTTTGAGTCTCTCTTTCCAACACCACCACAATTATAACACTTCATTATGCTACTAAGGTTTACTAGAACTTATTTTTTTTTTATGTAATACTCCTATTAATTTTATTTATCAAAATTAAAAGAATTTTTTGTGATACATAAATAATAAGTATATGTAGTGGATCATGCAAAACATAGATCTAACATTAAAATACTGAGAAAACATGCATACAACCCATCATACAAAGAAGAAATAGAGTTGTAGTCAACTCACATACCATATATACTTATACACTAGCCACCAAAAGAAATAGTCTATGAAAAAGAATACAAATCATTATGAATCCATAATACATAAAAAAAAAGGGAAAATGGTACATCACTCAGCCCCTAAAAGTTAACCTAACTATCAAAACATGCAAATACAACCTATCACCTACAAATTAAGGACAATAAGAAGTTGAAGGCTTGTCCTCCTAGAGAGAAAATAAACCTCTATCCGCACCACCTCTACTACAACCACATTCTTAACCCATGAACATGCAATGGTAACCATGAGCATTACCCTTGTACGAGGGATCGAGGAAGGAGTATATATGCCTAAACATCCTTAAAGGTTCAAACCTCCATGAACTATGATTGAATCTTGAGGAACATTTTGTACTATCATTAGTCCATCATACCAAAACACAACAAGATTAGCTTCAATGATTTACATTGAACCAAGGATGGTCAACACATAACTTTATCCTTAAAAAACATATATGTTTGGGACTTCTCCATCTACTTTTGTGAAACATCGTGATAATGTAATACTCTAATTTTTTTAATTACTTGTATATTTTTTTTTGTAAATTATTATATATTTTTGTTGTAATAAATATGTATTAAATAAATATTACACAAGTTTATTGTAAATGAAATTTATGTAGTATTATTCAACAAAATTTTCTAAATTCAGTTACGTACATTTTATTGCCTAATTTAACTATTTCCTAAACAACGTTGTGAACACGATGTAAAATGTGTGAAAACTATATTTAAGAAAATTTAAGTAATATGTAACCTATATGATAGTTTATTAAGAATTAATTACAAATAAATACAGTTAAGATAGAAAAGTTCTAGACTAGTATTTATCTGAATTTTCTAAAAATTTAACTTAGGAAATACTTTTTGCTAGAATATTAAGCTATAAAATTATGAAAAAAAATGTGCAATAGAAGTTATAGAATTTAATTTTATTTATAATATGTTTAGAATAATTAATAAAATTGCCCAACTAAGAAAAAGTAAAAAAAAAATTCAAGTTTCAACCAATTAAATTATTTCAAGTAAGCAATTTTTAAATAATTAAACTAAAATAATTAGGAGATGATTAAGGGTCTAACTCTTTATTTTTTGAGAGTTGGAAATTTAATGATAAATTTAACTTCTCCTAATTCTAATTAGATTGCGAGATAATACAAATATTTCTAGAAATTTTCAGAAAATGCTACAAAATCTTACATAGCTGGTCTAATAAGACAAAAATAAAGGGGGAGAGGGGGGCTTGTTTTAAAGGCCATTTGGCCAAATTTTTCATCACAAAGTGATCAAAACTTGGAGACGAGATAAGTTGGTGGGGCATGATAAAAAGGTAAAATTTTAATAAAACTTACATATTAACACCAAAACAACATTAATCCACCAACATCTTTCCTAAGTTCCATGACCAAGAGATAGATAGATTGATATATATATATATATATATATATATATATATATTGTTTTGTGT